CAGCTCCCGACAATCCCGTGCGACACCGGAGGATGGGTGATGCTCAAAGACTTCATCCACTTGGAGAACTTCTGGCAAAGCGGGAGGTATTACGCAAGGAGTTCAGCTCGAGACGACAACTCGGAGTATCAGAGAAGAATTCAAATGCTGATCGACTACGCGTACTACGAGTACCGCACCAATGGAAGAATTAGACTCCAATTCCTGGGCATCAAGATCGTGGCACCCAAACCTGGACAAAGAGCGTCTGATACGCCGTGGGACGGCACTCCGGGCGTCGGCGCAACCCAGCGTGCCCAACTTGAAGAACTCGGAGGGCACAGGTTGACGCATGACATCACGTCCGGTACCCTTCGCCGGTGCGACAATTGGGTGCAGCCGTGGGCGATCAGGGCCACAAGTGGACACTCCAGCAACTCCAATTCACTGGTGCGGGTGAATGACGACAGGGTCGCATGCCACTTGACCACGAGCTTGGTCAACCAGATTGGTGGGGGGTATCACACCACGGCCCCAGAGCTTCTCGCCAACATCGTGGCGAAAGGACTTCTTCCAGGCGGAGGGGCGTCAGGCGGTCGAGTCCACAGCCATTTCGGGACGTTCCCGCCATGGGATCCGAGAAATCAGACGGTGAGAACAAGGATTCCCGGAAGGCCAAGGTCACCAATTGCAGTACTGTACGTTCCAGCCTATGAGCTCATGCGCTACAACGCAGTGATCACGATCAATGGAATGTTTCTCGTCCAGCGGCAAATTCCATTCGAGGCCGTCAAGCACGTTTGGATCTGCATGCCAAGCCAAGGAAGGTACTTCGAGTTCAGCGAAGTCTTCAAGGTGTACTCCAAAGAGCTGTCCAAGGAGATGGTCGAAGGGTATGGGGACGCACGCATCAATCCCGATCGTGACCCTCCAAAACCTTCGGTGGAAGACCTCGTCAGCACCATGGAAGGCACCGACGCTGGCCCGCATGAAGGCGAGAGGCGCGAGATCTTGCAAGCAATTGAGCAGGCGGGCGACACCGTTCCTGGAAACATCATCAAGCGTGCTTTCCAGTTTCTCTCAAGGACATTCCGGCGAGTGACGACTCACACCACCACAAGCGATCCGCTGATCTTGAGGGTTTGCCCCTGCTGCGGCAGGCATACCCCTGCGAGCTTCGCAATTTGCCTCACGTGTGGGAGAGTTTTCCTGTCCATGGGGAGGATCCAGCATGTGCGTGCCAATCCGGAACCCGAAAGGATTGATCCGGAAGTGGTTCGCCAGGCGCTCAACCAGGCCGCTGCCGTCGTCAACAACGAGGTTGTGGAGATTGAAGTGGAAGATGAGCCACCGTCAGAACCTGTTCAGGAGGATGCGCTTCCGCTCCGCGGGGTGCAGAATCCAGCAGGGGATGTGGAGGCAAACAGTCCACGGGAAAGCGTGGCGGAGCCTGAGGCCGAGGAGATCCCCGACGAGATTCGCGACATGTACCGCGATGTGGAGATGGAGGCTCCCAACCAAGAAGAGGTGGAGATGGATGCGCAGAATCAGCGAGCGTTCGTGCTGGTGGGAGACAGGGAAGGCGATACGTTGGACGATCGAAACGAGAGGAAAGCTCGCCTTGCGCTGGAGTGCAACGTCAACATCGACACGGACTATGCAGCGTGCGTGGACCACAACTTCAGGTTGTACTGTCACCTCGACGCCTTCTTTGCGTACGTGTTGGTCCATAAATGGAATCTGTTTGAGAAAATCATCATGACTCCCTACAAGAAAATGAAGGACCAGTTCGCCTCGGGCATGAGACACGACGCGTCTGGGACATGGCCTATTGTCCCTATCGATGAGGACACGGCGTTGCCGAGAGACCTCATGGAAGACGAGGTAAGGCAGTATGCCAGCTCTGTGGAGAACCAGCAGTTCATGATTGAGCGTTATTACGCCAACAAGTTCGTCTTCTATGTCATGCGTGGGGCGATCCAGCTGGGGTACAACAAGGAGAGCTTTAACCTCCCCATGATTCCTGATGAGGCCGAGGACCCGAAAGCATTTGCTGAAGCCGGGCAAAGGGTCCACATGTTCATGGCCAAAATCATCTATCAGGTGCTGAACGTGAGGCTTTATTCCTACACGAAACCCAACGCTGAGATCCCGTACCACGCGGCATTCAAATACATCAACCCGATCCAGCTGCTCAGTTTGATGGACTCGCAGAAGGTGAGCGTTAACAACCTTCTGGTGATGAGGGATTCGGGGTGCGCTCTACCCAAGCAGTACAGCAAGAAGCTGGACAGATGGTTGAGTGATCAAAAGAAGGACATGAGCATCCTGAAGTTGAAGCCCACACAGTATTTGGAGAATCCAAAGGCGTCGGCTTTGTACCTTGCCTATGACCCTTCAGCATCCGCACCTTCGGTTACTTCGTCGGGAGGATCTCGTCATCCTGAAGCGGACGAGACGGACATGCCGGCTCGAGCGAAGGCCCGCATGAGTCAGCCGAAGCCCAAGACTTCTCATCCTGGGACACCTCAAGCTGCTCCCAAAGATCCTCGCGGTCATTCGAGAAAGGGATCGGGAAAGAAAGGGTGAATGATGCACTCGGATCCTCCGGTATGTCATCCCCTGGAATCCATGGTATTCCTGAAATCTGGTTGTGGCTCAGCATTTTGCGTTCTCAGTTTTGATTCCTCTTTTCCCTATGGATGCAACAGATGATACGATGGAGTACGTCATTATATCCACCGATGCTATTTCTCTTTTTGGCCACTGTATAGCAGCAGCGGGGCAATGTGCCAATGCGCTCGCTGGAGGGAAATGTGCGATTCTTCGCAGCTCGTGTGGTAGCCGAGTGGGTATGGGTTATGCTCTGCTAACTTGGCCGATGCTACTGCTTTTCAGTCATGCATTCTGGAGACGCAATGTGATGGATCAGCAATTTGCTGACATGTTTTCAGGGCCTTTCGCGCCCATGATTCCGCAACCGTGAGCAGCAAGTCTTTGTACAGACAAAGGATGGGATTGAACGCTTCAGTAGCTGAGAGTCTGTCTCACATCTATCAATTCGGGCAAAGAAAGCAAAACAGTGGAGAACGGCCAGACTTTAAGTCGCTTTTAACTGGGACCATTGTATGTTCGTGACGCAAGTTCGTCTAGCATTTTTGCAAATCCCAGCCGTGGGGGGTGTGAATGATCCCCGAACCACAGCACATTTTGGGAACCCCTTTGTGTCGGCTCCGCCGCACATCGGGGAAACCACCTCAGAACGCCGTGGCCTGTTCACCATGTTGGCTCAAGTAATCCCTAGAGTGTAGGTCACTCATAGGTTGGAAGTAAGCGCAATAGCGTAACTGGAAACCGCCCGGGTGCACGAGACGGAGACTGAAGGCGAACATCAGTGCAGAAAACAAGTGCGAGACCATTTGGCTGGTGAGGAGCCAAAGCGTAGTGCAAGCAACTACCCGACCTCACGCACTACACCCCAAACCCTAAACCCTAAACCCTAAACCCTAAACCCTAAACCCTAAACCCTAAACCCTAACCTAAACCCTAAACCCTAAACCCTAAACCCTAAACCCTAAACCCTAAACCCTAAAACCTAAACCCTAAACCCTAAACCCTAAACCCTAAACCCTAAACCCTAAACCCTAAACCCTAAACCCTAAACCCTAAACCCTAAACCCTAAACCCTAAACCCTAAACCCTAAACCCTAAACCCTAAACACTAACCCTAAACCCTAAACCCTAAACCCTAAACCCTAAACCCTAAACCCTAAACCCTAAACCCTAAACCCTAAACCCTAAACCCTAAACCCTAAACCCTAAACCCTAAACCCTAAACCCTAAACCCTAAACCGCAAACCCTAAACTCTCAGGTCGGCACCATGCCACGAAAGCCGTGGCCGGCCTGAGCCACACGCTGGCCCTCACAAGCGCTGGTAAGCTGCTGGTGTGGGGCGCCAACGACAAGGCCAAGGGAACTTCGGAACCGAGGGGCGTCAGAAATTCGGGTTTGGGGTTTAGGGTTTAGGGTTTGGGGTTTAGGGTTTAGGGTTTAGAGTCAGGGTTCCTATAGACCCTGAACCTTAGAAAGTGCGTGGGGGGTCGGGTTTTGGGGGTTGCGTGTTGGGAAGTTGCCTTTCAAGCTTCGGTGACCCGGGCTCCCTGGCACATAACCCTAAACCCTAAACCCTAAACCCTAAACCCCAAACCCCAAACCCTAAACCCTAAACCCTAAACCCTAAACCCTAAACCCGAAAACTAAGGGTCCCTCTCGGGGTCCCCGATATAGCACGGCACCCTTTATAACAAGGGCCCCCAAAAAGGGATCCTACTTCAGAGAACTGCCGATGTAGAGAGTTGAAGGGTTTTCGCAAGGTTCAGGGCATGAGGTTTAGGGTTTAGGGTTTAGGGTTTAGGGTTTAGGGTTTAGGGTTTAGGCTTTAACCAATCCTTCAACCTAGCTAGGGGCTTGGGATATTTGTACTTCCTGTATGGGCGTGAGAGGATCCGGTTTTGGCAGTATTAGGCAGTGCTAGTTGTATCTTCGGCTGGTGTAAAGGGCCACACTCATATGCAGGTTTACGAAAGTAGGGGTAGGATTCCCGAATAAACGGACCCCAACAAGGGACCCCAATTTCGGAAAATCACCATAATAGCTCCGAAACCATCATGTTCATTAAGAAAACCTAAACCCCAAACCCTAAACCCCAAACCCCAAACCCCAAACCCTAAACCCGAAACCCGAAACCCCCAACCCCAAAAGCTCTTTACAGCTGCCCAGGGGCAGCTCGGCTGCGGACAGATTGGCGAAGCTGCCCTGCAGCCTGTCGTGATGAAGGCAGGGTTTAGGGTTTCGGGTTTAGGGTTTAATTTCTAGGGTTTGGGGACTGACCGGCGACTTTTTACAGGAAGTTGAACAGAGATGCTTACATGAAGATGCCGAGCATCCCGTGATCTGGGCTTGCGTTGTTCCTTCGGTTTAGGGCAGCTACCTGACAGCTAACGCCTCCAGTGCAGCATGCATGTTTATTGGTGTGGAGGTGGTCTTATGGGTTTTTCTTTGCGCGCCTGAGTAGATTGAATTGAAAGCAGTCAAGGCTCCTTACCACCCCTCAATTTTCAGCTGCCGCTGTGAAGAAGGACCCTAAACCCTAAACCCTAAACCCTGAACCCTGAACCCTGAACCCTAAACCCTAAACCCTAAACCCCAAACCCTAAACCCTAAATGGCCCTAAATCCTAAACCCTAAACCCTAAACCCTAAACCTTTGCTGTGGCAGGTGGGCCCCTTTCAGAAGCTCCGTGTCAGCGACATCGCGGCCGGGTCCGCCCACTCCCTGTGCATCGCCGGCGAGGGCCACGTTTATGCTGCATGGCTGATGTCTTTGTCATGGTGGGGTTTAGGGTTTAGGGTTTAGGGTTTAGGGTTTAGGGTTTAGGGTTTAGGGTTCATTTTACATTCTTTAAGGTACTTAAACTCTACAAGGGATAGAATTTAACGCTTGGGTAAAGAACTGCTAGTGACCCTACAGGGCCAAACTCAAGAGGCAGATGCTCCTCCCGCCAACGAGGTTGAGAGTTCAGAACTAAGGGGGTATAGAAGCAAAAACTCCCAACAAGAAGTGGGGGTTTGGGAGGGGGCCCTTAGCCCGGAGTTTTTGAGAACCAAAACCCACAGCCCAGCACCCAAGACCCTAAACCCTAACCTTAAATTCCTAAACCCTAACCCTAACCCGAAACCCTAAACCCTAAACCCTAAACCCTAAACCCCAAACCCAAACCCCTAAACCCTAAACCCCAAACCCAAACCTCTACACCCTAAACCCCTTGAGTCACAACAGTACTTGAAGGTTCATGGTACTTACTAACCAATTATAACTGTACTTATAACCCTACTTATAATACCCCTAAAGGGCCTTATAGGGGTTATCCCAGTTATAAGTAGGGTTATAAGCCCAGTTCTAATTGGTTAGTAAGTACCATGAACCTTCAAGTAGGCCTGGGGCTGCAACGGCCGCGGCGCCCTTGGCCTGGGTGCCCCGCCATCGGGGCCTCTGCAGGCAGAAGAGCTCACATGGGAGATGTACATGGGTTGTTGCAGAAAGACTTGCTCATGTATATGTGCACAACAGATATTCATCCAATCTCTCTCTCTCTCTCTTTTTTTTTTTCTCTCTCTCTCTCTCTTTTTCTCTTTTTTGCTCTCTCGCTCTGTCTCTCACTCTCTCTCTCTCTCTCGCTCTCTCCCTCTCTCCCTCTCTCTCTATATATAGGCATCCTTAAGTAGATAGAATATTTGAAAATCCGAAAAAACAAAACCCCCCTTTCCAAAAGGATAGATAGAATATCAACCCCCAAAACGTTAGACGTTAGATAGAATATTGGCCTAAAATTTCGGGCCCAGGGGCGCCGGGTCAACTATATTCTATCCATGGGTTGCCTTTTTATGACAGTTTCGGGGATTTGGGATTTGGGGGTTTAGGGTTTCGGGTCTAGGGTTCTAAGCTATATAATGTAAGGTTCCAAACAGCTCAGAGTAGGCATCACTTGAACGCGCCTCTCTTGAGGCTTGCATAGCCTGAGGCACCTTCGCGGGTGGGGTTAACTATATTCTATCTATGGGTTCCCAGGGGAGTTGGAGGTGTGTTTTTCTTTGGGGGGGGGGGGGGGGGAGGACGCAAGAGAAGTTATGGCCTGAGAGCCCTGGCCTAAAGTTTAGGGCGGAGAGGCGCCTTCGGGGTCGGGATTAGCCAGATTCTGTCTATGGGTTTCCAGGGGAGCTGGGGGTGCTCTCTTCAGGCGAGGGCGGAAGAGAAGCCTGAGAACCCTTCCTATCCTCTCCTCCTCTCCTCTCCTCTCCTCTCCTCTCCTCTCCCTCCTCTCCTCTCCTCTCCCCTCCCCTTCCCTCCGCTCCGCTCCGCTCCTCTCCTCTCCCCCCCGCAAACCATGTTCTATCTATGCAAGGATAACTATACATACATGCATCTGTACAGGTTTATTAAATCTAAATAGAACGCGCTTTTACATATGTATGTATTTATATGTATGCATGCACACACAAGCACACACACGCACACTTCCTCTCTATCTGTCTTGCTCTCTCTCTCTCTCCTCTCTCTCTCTCTCTATATATATATACATAAATAAATAAATAAATATATACATATATATACACACATTTACATGCAGCATGCATATACTACCTGTCGACAGTTACCTAGAACCTCTCAAGCTAAGTCCCCGAACCTTACCAACCCTGAAGGAACTCGAAACCTTCATGCGCCAAACCCCAAGCGCTCTCCAAACAGATGGGCCCTGCACCCAGATTTTCCTGAACCCTAAACCTTAAACCCTAAACCCTAAACCCTACAAACCGCCTATTGCAGGTGGCGCAGCCCCAGAGCCTCCCACACCTCAAGGCAGCGGCTCGGTCAATTGGTTTCCGCTCGCGGATCCCTCTTTGGGAGGGTGCTTGGGGTGTTGGTTTAGGGTTTAGGGTTTAGGGTTTAGGGTTTAGGGTTTGGGGTTTAGGGTTTAGGGTTTGGGGTAGTTCCCCGTGATGCTGGCAGTCCTTAATATGGACTAAGGACTCTTAGAAAAAAGGGGGAACGTCCCAAGGAGGGTGCTTGGGGGGTTTCGAGGATTCAGGGCATGTGGCATCGACCGCCCTTTAGAGTTGCATGGATTAGGGTGTCCTGCTTGGGGATCCGTGTAAAAAATGCGTAGGAATTGCTTGGCTCAGGGTAGCTCCTAAAGCCTTACACCGAAGCCGCAAACCCTTCCAAGTAAAGTTGTGTTTGAGGGTTGAAAAGCTGAACAACCCCCCCCCCCCTACCCCCAGAGTTTGGGGCTCCGGGCTCAAGAGTTGAGGGGTTGGGCTTGCAAGACAATGGTGTGCTCCTCAGCTTAGGCGACAGGCGTGGAAGCAAACTCCGGCGGGACCGTCAGCGTGTGCCTGGTCGCCTCGCATGGTGATGCCATCATGTTCGGCGGAGCTCCCGTCGCCGCAGCCTGGCTGTCAGTCCCAGCGGTGCACCAGCTCACTGGTGTCAGGTCATATTGTTTCATGTTTGGGGTCACCCTGGTAGTCCGACTCTGTACGGTTTGATCTTCAGAGACACTAAGAAGGCGGGGGGAGAGAGATTCTTGGTTCGGGCAAGACTTTCGCATATCTTAGCCTCAGGCGACAGGAGCCGACAGCCGCAACGTCGACAATCGCTTCTTCACGCCTGGACGCGTCCGCCGGAAGGACCCGGAGTTGTCGGATGCCTTGGGCCCTGACGAGTGGCAGCTTCAGCGGGGGACGCAGCTGAGCCCTTTGAGAGCAGTCACGGTAAGTGAAAGCAGCTGCTTTGGGATCGACGGCGATGGGCTGCTGTGGGCTTGGCCCACGACCTCCCGGCCTGTGACGGGTGACCTGGCAGCCATCAGCCTCGCGAAGGCGGTGCCACGGCGGCCGAGTGAGCTGCAGGAAGAAGTGGAAGCTGGTGACTTCGTGATGGTTGAGACGGATGGGCTTCTGGATGGGCCTTCCAGGGCACCGCCATCCCCGGTCTGCGAGGTGGAGGAAGACAGGCCGCACGAGATCGAAGTAGCTGGGGTTCACGCGGTCGGACACGCAACCAAAGCAGGGACGATGCAACTTAGTAGCTGAATGAGTACACAACACTTTTTGGGATACCAGAATCCCCTACAGAACTGACAGTGTACACTTTTGGGGGGGCGTATAAACTCAGCAAGTAAAGCAAGTAAGGTGGGCCGTGGATGACTCAGGAGCCCGCCACCTCTGGCAATTGAAGCGCCCTTCCAAGCCTGATGGCAGCTGGGCCGCTGAACGCTTCGAGTACCTGGCGCAGGTTTCCTGTTTCACGTGTGGCCCCGAGAACCAGGCGGCGGTTGTCAACTACATCGTCCCCCGCTTCGAGACCTCCGAGGACAGCTCCGGTGGGGAGTCCCAGCCCAAAGCAGCGCCCCAGCTGCTGTTCAGCCAGGATGGGGAAGCCAAGTGGTTCAAGTTGTAGCCATGCTCTGGTCACTTAGAACTTCTGCCTCTTTAACAGGAACCGTAAACCCGCAAACCCCCTAAACCCTAATCCCTAAGCCCTAAGCCCTAAACCCCAAACCCTAAACCCTAAACCCCAAATCCAGGTGCCATCTCTGCAGCAGCTTTGCGAAGACAAGCTCTGTGCCAAGCTGAGCCCTCGCTCCTTTGGCCTGGTCTGCGACATCGCCTGGGAGCTCAACCGCCCCACGCCCCTTAGCTGCTGAGTGTTTGGTTTGGGGTTTGGGGTTTGGGGTTTGGGGTTTAGGGTTTAGGGTTTAGGGTTTAGGGTTTAGGGTTTAGGGTTTAGGGTTTAGGGTTTCGGGTTTAGGGTTTAGGGTTTAGGGCACGAGAAGTTCCCTCGAGTTCTTCTCTCAGCCCGCGAGGCTCCTGGACCGAGCCTTCCGCTTCCTCTGCAGCAACGCGCCCCTCATGTTGCCAGGCTTAGGTTTCGGGGTTTAGGGTTTAGGGTTTAGGGTTTAGGGTTTAGGGTTTAGGGTTAGGATTTAGGGCTATTGTTTAAAGGGGATTCAATTTGGGAGCGCCTTAAACTCTAAACATCCAGCTTAACCCGAAGCCCTAAACCCTAAACCCTAGACCCTAAACCCGAAGCCCTAAACCAAGGTTCTCCAGGCTCCATCTGCCCATGCTCTCACAGCTGCCCATGGAGGTGCTGGCTGCCTTGGAGGTCGCGGCAGCCAGACCGCTTTACTCTTCTTAAACGCTTTTTTGTTTTTAGGCACTTTACAAAGGGGCATTTCAAGAAGGGGAATAAAGGGCTGCCAGCCCGAAATAAGCATTAATAAGGAATATGGGCCCTCACACCCCCTAAACCCTAAACCCTAAACCCTAAACCCTAAACCGTAAACCCTAAACCCTAAACCCTAAACCCTAAACCCTAAACCCTAAACCCTAAACCCTAAACCCTAAACCCTAAACCCTAAACCCTAAACCCTAAACCCTAAACCCTAAACCCTAAACCCTAAACCCTAAACCCCTAAACTCCTAAACTCCTAAACCCTAAACCCTAAACCCTAAACCCTAAACCCTAAACCCTAAACCCTAAACCCTAAACTCCTAAACTCCTAAACCCCTAAGCCCCTAAACCCTTAACCCTAAACCCTAAACCCTAAACCCTTGGTTCCTTCTGAGAGTTACGCGGACATCCGCGGGTAGCTGAGGCAAGGGCCAGGCAGCCACAGGCCCACTCGGAGCCGGAAGACTCCGGGGCCGCCGCCCCCGTGGCTTCTTGGTGAACTTAGGGTTTAGGGTTTAGGGTTTAGGGTTTAGGGTTTGGGGCTTAGGTTTTTGGGGAGAGGTGGAGAGGTGGAGTAGAAGAACCCCGAAATTTGATCTTACAGTGGGGGGTTTTAGGTTTTAGGGGTTTGGGGGGTTTGGGGCCCCCTTGCCCTAAATCCTTAAGCCCTAACCTCTAACCCTAAACCCCAAAACCCCAAAACCCCTAAACCCCTAAACCCCTAAACCCCTAAACCCCTACATCCCTAAACCCCTAAACCCTAAACCCCAAACCCCAAACTCGAAACTCGAAACCCTAAACCCTAAACCCTAAACCCTAAACCTAAACCCTAAACCCTAAACCCTAAACCCTAGGCGGAGGAGGCCGAGGTTTTCGTCGGCTTGGGCGAGGCCTTCGAGGACCGCTTGGGCGACCCGGAGGACGAGGAGGCACGGAAGCAACCTTATGTTACCGGTTTAGGGGTTCAGAGGTTTAGGGTTTAGGGTTTAGGGGGTTTAGGGTTTAGGGTTTAGGGGTTTAGGGGTTTAGGGTTTAGGGTTTAGGGTTTAGGGTTTGGAGTTCCGGAGGTTCAGGGTTCAGGTTCTTAAGCTGTGCAATCCTGAACAGGGTTGAGGGTTTAGGGTTTGAGGTTGAGAAGGTTTGAGGGTTTACTGTTCTGGGTTCAGGGCTCAAGGTCGAGAGTGACCACTAACCCCTGAACCTCTAAACCCGAAACCCCTCGACCGTTGATTTTAAATCCCCCCTACGTAAACCCCGAAAGCGTATGTCCCCTAAACTCTGAAGCCCCCGCCCCAAACCCTAAACCCTCTACTCCCTGACCCCTAAACTTGCAGGGTGCCTACTTCACTAGCTCCCTAACCTAAACCCTAAACCCTAAACCCTAAACTAAACCCTAAACCCTAAACCCTAGTCCCTACTAAGAGGCGCTGAAGCAAATTCAGGAGTGCTGCCGGAGGCTTGACTGGCACTCCCGAACTGCTTTCAAGACCTTAGGGTTTAGGGTTTAGGGTTTAGGGTTTAGGGTTTAGGGTTTAGGGTTTAGGGCCTTCTACTTGCAGGTTCATGGTACTTATGAACCAAGTATAACTGTACTGATAACTGTACTTATAACTGTACTTGTAGGGTTTAGGGTTTAGGGTGTAGGATAACTGCACGTATAACTGTACTTACAACCATATTAGGGCACTTAGGGGGGCTTATAAGTGGGTGATAAGTACAATCATGATTTGTTAATAAGTATGAACCTCCAAGTATGCAGCTGCAGAAGCCTCCAACGAGCGCGCTTTCTCTCAGGAGTGTCGCCGTGCCCAAGCCCCAGAAACCATGAGCCCCTAAACACTAACCCTAAACCCCAAACCCCAAACCCTAAACCCTAAACCCCAAACCCTAAATCCTAAACCCCAATTTCCTTCCGCCCCACCGCCAAGGAGGGGCCGCTGGTCCACTGCCGCCTCGCAAGCGCTGTCCTTGCTGGCCATCTCCCTCCCTGGGACCTTGCGGGTGATTCTCGAAATCATGGGCCCTTTTTCGGGTACCCTAACCCTAAACCCTAAACCCTAAACTCTAAACCCTAAACCCTAGGTGTATGACTAGGGTGTGTAGGGTTTAGCGGGTGTCCTGCTAGGGTGTGTCGGGTCCACGAGGTTTGAGGCTTTCGGCTTAAGACCTCGTCATCCACACTTGGGGCTGCCGAGCTCCCGGCCTCTGAATCTGAGCTGCGAACCCTTCGCCCTGAAGCGTGGAATCTAACATCTAAACCCTGAACCCGAAACCCTAAACCCTAAACCCAAAAACCCTAAACCCTAAACCCTAAACCCTAAACCCTAAACCCTAAACCCTAAACCCTAAACCCTAAACCCTAAACCCTAAACCCTAAACCCTGTCCGGTGGAATCCTGAAACCTGAAGCCTCACCCTAAGCCCTAAACCCTAAGCCCGAAGCCCGCAGGACTTCTGCTGGAGAGGGGCCCGCGGCTGCGCGATTGGGTCTGGACTTCTCTGCAACAGAGGTGGGAGGGTTTAGGGTTAAGAGTTTAGGGTTTAGGGATTAGGGCTTACAGGGTGCTTAAGGCTTATATGCTACCGAGGGTCTGGGGGCTTTCAGGGTGTTTCGGGCTTATGTGCTATCAGTAGGGTAGATTTTTTTCTCTGACTTTGCCAGGTTTTTTTTGGGTCGTTTAATTGTCGTTCTTTGTTAGGGGGCTTGCAGGGTTTAGGGGGCCTTGCTCGGCTAGAGAGCTTCAGGCACTCTCAAATAGTACGCAGGGTCTCATCCTCATCATCGCAAAGTCAAGTGGGACGAGCGACCACCCAAAACCCTAAAACCCTAAGCCTCAAAACCTTAGCACCCTAAGCCCTAAACCTCCAAACCCCAAAACCCTAAAACCCTAAGCCTTAAACCCCTTGGCACAACTTCGGGCCACTCTAGGGTTGAGGGGTTTAGGGGTTTAGGGGTTTAGGGGTTTAGGGGTTTAGGGGTTTAGGGGTTTCGGGACTTAGAGCAATCGACTGCCCCCGAAGAGGTGGAGAGCCTTAAGGTCGAGGAAAAGGCTGAGGGTGAGTCGCGCAAGAGGCGCAAGGCCAGCGCGGGGGCCTCCCCGGCGGTCCAGCAGAAGCTGGGCTTCGGATTGGGGAGGAGTTGCGGCAGTTTAGGGTCGATTAAAGGGTTCAAAGGTATGTTCCTTCAGGGTCCCACCCGAAATCCTGGGATGACGTGTGTAAAGCCCTGCATGAGCCCAGGAAAGCGTCACCAACCTCCTCCAAGACTTCGCCCAAGTCTGCGGCCGTCTCTCCGTTCCTGCAGCCAGAGAGGAGCAGCGTTAGCAGCCCCAGTATGGAGGCGCAGGACTGGGTCGCCAGCTAGGGTCTTGGGAGGCTTTACATTTTTCGTTAAGAGGATCTTATGTAGGAAAGACTATAGAGGGTTTAGGGGCTCTGTTTCGGAGGCTTAAAGGTTAAAGTTTAAAAGGGGCCCTACCGAGGTGGAGGTGCGCACCAAGCCGCGGAAAGGCAGCCAGGAGCTGGTGGCCTCGCAGGTGAGCCCCAAAGCCAAAGCGGCCGAATCCCCCAAAGCCAAAGCTGCCGAATCCCCCATCTTGGGGGCCAAGGGTGGCCGAAAGGGCGACATCGGACCCAAGGCCAAGGCCTCAGGCCTCGCCTCGGAGGAAGGCAGCTCCGCGCGGAGCCTGCGCCTCGCGGACTTCATCAAGCCGCGGGACGCGCGGGAGAAGGGCAAGGGCGGCAAGGGAGGCAGGGCCTCCCAGGCCGCTCCGGCTCCTGAGGCCACGGCCTCGGGGCCCTCCGCGATGCTCGTCTCCGCGGTGTCGGCGGTGGAGTCTAAGGAGAAGCGGGCCTCTTGGGCGGCCCAAGGCTCCCAGAACTCCGTGTCGCTGCCGGAGATCATCGAGGAGGCGAGGCAGGCCAAGACCAAGGCCGCGCAGCGCGCCAAGATTACCACCTGCTCCTGGGGCCGTGATGCCATACCTTCCGAGCAGGCCCCGAACCAGTCCATCCATCAGATCCAGGAGGAGCCTACAGGGGACGAAGTGAGCCTTAAAAGGGTTGATGGTTCATCTACCTTGGCAGGAATGATGGTAGTCTAGTGTAAGTATGACCCCAAATATTAGGGTTTAGGGTTTAGGGTTTAGGGTAAATGTGACCCCAAATATTAGGGTTCATGTGGACCAAGGAGGAGGAGCACATCCGCCAGCAGGAGGAGATTGCGGAGATCGAGGCCATGTTTGCCGCCTTGGAGGCCTGCCTGGACGCTTTCACTTCTCAACTCCGAGGTTTAGGGTTTAGGGTTTAGGGTTTGGGGTTTAGGGTTTAGGGTTTAGGGTTTAGGGTTTAGGGTTTAGGGTTTAGGGTTTAGGGTTTAGGGACTCTGGGGGTTACTTCACCCCCCTCCCTTTTTGAAGCCCTGAAACCTTAGATCGCAGTGAGGTGGCCGAGATAGAGGAAGCCCTGGAGCGCGAGGGCGGGAGCACTGGGAACGGCGAGAAGCCCGTGGCCGCCAAGGCCCTATGTTTAGGGTTTGGGGTTGAAGGTTGGGGGGCTTCAGGTTTAGGGTTTAGGGTTTAGGGTTTAGGGCTAGGGTTTGTTTCAAGGCTGTTCTTGGCTTCCTTTTTGGGGCTTCCGCTTAGCAAGACACGGCCAAAGTCTCACGATCCCCCTCCATCCCAAACCCCAAACCCCAAACCCCAAACCCCAAACCCCAAACCCCAAACCCCAAACCCCAAACCCCAAACCCCAAACCCCAAACCCCAAACCCCAACCCCAAACCCCAAACCCCAAACCCCAAACCCCAAACCCCAAACCCCAAACCCCAAACCCCAAAACCCCAAAGCCTAAACCCTAAACCCTAAACCCTAAACCCTAAACCCCAAACCCCAAACCCCAAACCCTAAACCCTCAACCCCGGCTCATGGAGGCGCGCGGCAGCAAAGCTCCTGCCGCCGGGCAACGCTCAGAGGGACTCCCCAAGGCGCGTGGCGGAGAGGGCGAAAGGAAGCACCGGGGAAGGCTCGCTTGGATGAAAGCAGGATTAGGGGTTTAGGGGGTTTAGTTTAGGGTTTAGGGTTTAGGGTTTAGGGTTTCGGGTTTCGGGTTTAGGGGTTGAGGGTTTAGGGTTGAGGGTTTAGGAGGTTGCAGTAGGGTTTGCCTAGGGTTTTTGGGGTGCAAGCCAGACCGAGGAATGCTCGTCAGGGCTACAAATCTGATTGGTGGTCGCAAGAGTGGTCAAGCTGGGATTCTGGCTGGTGGGAGTCTGGAAAGCAGACGCACTGGCAGAAGAGGCAGGTCCCCGAGGACAGAGCTGCAGAAGCTGAGGGACCCCAAGCATAGGGCCACCGGACCCCACTCTCAGGTTCAAGAGGGACTATGTGGTTTTTAGGGTTTAGGGTATTTTAGGGTTTAGGGTTGTTTGGATGTTAGAAGTGAGTTTAGTCGATGGCTGAGAATCGAAAGCGACCAGCGCTCGATATCGAAGTCGGTGTCCCAATTTTCTCTGAGCTCCGATCGCCCGCGTGGACGTGCAGCGCGCGCGTCAGGGTGAGTTCAAAAAGTGTGGCGGTTTTGTGGTAGGCCTTAGGGGGGCCCGAAGCACGCACTGAAACCAGGTGAGGGATGTAGTTGTTGCTCATTGTGGAGCGGTGCGGGGGTTGGATGGGGGGCGGGGTGGGGTGGGTGGGTGGGCGGGCAGGGTAGAAACGCCGTGGCATTCAGTTTTGTTGAACTCTGGTTGGGAGTTGGTTTGCGGAGGCGTTAAGTTTCCCTATGACTGCGACTCAGCATGACTTTCCGAGCGCTGCTGGAAGCACATGGATGCCCGCCATGGACCATGTAGTTGGGTGTAATTCATTATAGTCATGATTCCTGCATCCTGCGTAAATCTGGGCTTAGAAGGCAACCAATGAAGACCGGACGCAGTGCTCAGCTGCTCAAGGACTGTCTCGAACTAGCAGGTAGCACGCAGAAGCTGCCACAACGCTGAAATGTCCAGACAGTGACAAGCAGCCAGCGCAGCTTTGGCAGTTCTTGCACCAGTTCATGCGACGGCTGCCGCCACGCTTCCTCTACCTGGTGTCGGTCTATGCAACGTCCGCGTCTCGTTGCTGTGCCCGCTTTGTTTTCCAAGTCTCTTGCAAACCCTAAACCCTAAGCCCCAAACCCTAAGCCCTAAACCCCTGAGGGCTTCGCACCCCAAGGTCACGATGCCGTTCCTGCCGAGGCGCCCTTTTTTTGTTGGCAAAGCCCTTGAGGCTTCCGCCATAAACTCCTATTCAAGGTGAGGCAGAGCCTATTGAGACCTGCCGGCATCCCAACATCAACTGCGATCTGCACACGGGGATTGTTCCTTTGTCGGGGTTTCGGGTTGAGCGTAACCTGAACCCTCAATCCTGAACGCCTAAAGCCAAAGCCCCCCCCCCCCCCTCAGCTCTTTTCGGGCTTCATGGCTTTCGGTATTGAGGGGTATCCGCGTGTGGGTTTTGGTCTTGGGCGTAGGGTTTGGGCCTGATCTTGGGGTAAGGGCTACTATTTGCTTAAGAACCCCAAAAGAATAAAAAGCGCTAATCCCTGTATTACCCTTAATAAGGAAGAACATTTTTTGTTTTTTCGGGGTTCTTGTGGAATTAGTAGCGGTTTGTGGGTCAGGTCTTGAGGGTCAAGGGCCAAGGGCTAAGGCGGCTAAGGCCTTTTGGGTTTGGGCCTCAGGGCTCACTTTAACATCAAGGCCCAAACCCAAAGCCCGAAATTATTGTAGGGTGGGGGTTCAAGGGGAGTAGGTACCAAGGGAACCTTAGGGAAGCTTGGGGAGCCTTAGGGAGTAGTGGGGAGTATAAGGGAACCCTCAGCCCGAGAAGCCCTGCACCCTAAAGCCCTAATCCCTAACCCCCAAACCCCACCTGAAACCCGCAAGTGTAGAGCCCAACTCCCTGACATCACCCTAAACCGAAACCCTAAACCTTAAACCCTAAGCCCTAAGCCCTAAGCCCTAAGAACTAAGCCCTAAGCCCTAAGCCCTAAGCCCTAAGCCCTAAGCCCTAAGCCCTAAGCCCTAAGCCCTAAGCCCTAAGCCCTAAGCCCTAAGCCCTAAGCCCTAAGCCCTAAGCTCTAAGCCTTAAGCCGTAAACCCTAAGCCCTAAGCCCTAAACCCTAAACCCCTCAAATCCTCTGCGGAGCAGGCCTCGGCCCTCCGGGCGGCTTTGAGGCAGTCGGAGGCTGACGTGCCCTTGCCGGTTTGGGGCTTAGGGTTTAGGGTTTAGGGGTTTAGGATCCTGAAGCCCCTAAACCTAAGGCAGTTTAGGGTTTAGGGTTTAGGGCCTAGGGTCTAGGGTTTAGTGTAAGCCTAAAATTTAGGGTTTGGGGTTTAAGTTTAGGGCTTAGGGCGCGGAAGTCCCTACGGCGGGTCTCGCAATCACCCAAATCCTCCAAACACAAATATGCCCCTTAACATCTTTGAAAGCCTTGTGTGAAAGAGCCACAAGGCCCAACGACGCCCAACGCCCGAAGCCCCTAAACCCTGCCCCTAGTGGCCCTAAGCCCCCAAACCCCAAATCTCAAACTCCTCCCCGCCCTCCCATCCTCGTCAGCCCTAAACCCGAAACCCTAACCCCTAACCCTCAAGCCCCTGTAACTTGAAATTATTCAACGGTTAAACGCCGAAACTGCTCGAAACTTTCCTCGAAGCTCCTCGAAACTTTCCCCGAAACTTTCCCCGGACCTGAACATAAACCCTAAACCCTAAACCCTAAACCCTAAACCCTAAACCCTAAACCCTAAACCCTAAACCCTAAACCCTAAACCCTAAACCCTAAACCCTAAACCCTAAACCCTAAACCCTAAACCCTATACCCTATACCCTAAACCCTAAACCCTAAACCCTAAACCCTAAACCCTAAACCCTAAACCCCAAGCCCTAAACATTCCTGCCAGGACCGGGCGTCCGAGCTCTGCGCAGAGAGCAGGGAGGCCAGGGTCCCGTGGTTTGAGGGTGCCTCTGCACTTTAGGGTTTAGGGTTTGGGGTTTAGGGTTTGGGGTTTAGGGTTTAGGGTTTAGGGCTCAGGGTTTAGGGTGGCTTCGGAGTTCTTGAGCTTGGAAGCTCCCTAAGCTCTAAGGGTGGGTATATGGGACCTCAATATGGTCCCTTATCTCGTTTAAAGGGTTCTGAAGTAAGGGCCTTTGGGTTGTATACGGTATATGAAGCAGGGTTTATACTACTGTTATTGGTGAGTGTATAGAAGGTTTCTTTTTAATGTTGGTGAGTATATATGTTGGGTGTCCTCTTGGGGGTACAAGGAATACAAGCCCTACTTCGCATATTCTCATTGCTACTAGTATATTGCTCCTAGCATTATGCTATTGCTAATATTTGCCTAGTTCTTATGCTTATTTTTGTAATGATTATATATGTATACGGACATACAATATGCAAAATTATACATTATTTTGTTTGTTTGTTTGTTTGTTTGTTTGTTTGTTTGTTTGTTTGTTTGTTTGTTTGTTTGTTTGTGTGTTTGTGTGTTTGTGTGTTTGTGTGTTTGTTTGTTTTGAAATGGGGAGTAGTGGTTTAATGATTTTTTCGCGGGGTTTCGGGATCTGTGTTTCTGTGTTTTTTAAACTATGGTTCTAGGGGGTTCGGGATGTTCAACGATTTTTTGTTGTTGTTTTTTGGGCTTTTGGGGATTTAGGGGTTTTGGGTAACAGGGCTTTTGCGAAATTCAGGTGACCGTTTAACATGGAGACGAAGTTAGCCTCCACGTTCTGCTGCCTTAATTGGCTGCCAAGCTCTCTCAGAAATGCTGGAGCAAAGCCTTAAAGCCCTAAAACCCTAAACTCCAAACCCTTGAACACCCTAAACCCTAAACCCTCAACCCTAAACCCTAAACCCTAGACCCTAAACCCTAAACCCCGAACCCTAAACCCTAAACCCTAACCCTAAACCCTAAACCCCAAACCCCAAACCCCAAACCCTTAAACCCTAAACTCAGCTTGAATATTCAGACCCGAACAGGTTGCAGCCGACTGAATCTCGATTCTGCAGGCTTTATGGATAGCTTCAGATGAAGGGTTTAGGGATTAGGGTAAAGGGCTTTCAACAGCTAAACCCCCACCCCATTCCCCCCCCCCCCCCCCCTCGAATTTCGGAAGAGGCCTAGGCCTAAACCCTAAACCCTATCATGAGTGGAGTTTCAAGCTTCGGGCTTCTTAGGGTTGAGTTTAGGGTTTAGGGGTACCCTAAACCCAAAACCCAAGTCCCTCGGTGTGAGGGGTCGGTACCCAATCTGGGAGTTTTGGGGTTTGAGGCTGCAAGCACGTAGGCCTTACCGTTTGGAATTTCTCCCCTTATACTAACAATCCTCAAAGGGGATTTTAGCAACCCGTTTTATAATCCCTATTAAGGGCTGCTAGTTTAAGGGGGAGCATCCCAACTTACCGTGCTTGCATATTGTCCCCGCCATGTCTGGCGGCTACAAGACCGAGATGCAGGCGGCAGACACTGTGGGGAAGACGCCCGTCCAGAGTTTGGGTTCAGGACCCTAAACCCTAAACCCTAAACCCTAAACCCTGAACCCTAAACCCTAAACCCGAAACCCTAAACCCGAAACCTAAACCTTAAACCCTAAACCCTAAACCCTAAGCCCTAAACCCTAAACCCTAAACCCTAAACCCTAAACGGTTGAAAAAGGGCTTAATCCTCTGGGTCAGGTTTGGGTTTAGGGGTTTCAGGGTTTAAGGGTTTAGGGGTTTAGGGTTTAGGGGTTGAGGGTTCAGGGTTTAGGGTTAAGAGTTTTCGGAGCCGGGCCATACTGGCCAAGATCCGTAGAATCAGGGACCCCGATTCTCTGGGCAATCTAGGACCCGAAGCCCTGTAAACCCTAAAACCCAAAGCCTAAACCCTAAACCCTACCCTACACCCTTAGCTCAGGATGTGGCATCCCTCTCTGTACATTGGGTCAATCCTGGAGAGCCACGAAGATCGCGTGTCGATCCTGCCGGACCGCATCAAGCTGCTTGGCAGCGGTTCGCGTGGGCTTTAGGCTACGGGGCTTAGGGTTTAGGGTTTAGGTCTTAGGGTGTAGGAGGTTTGGGAAGCACGGACCACACAACCCTAAACCTAAACCCCAAATTCAAGCGCAAGCCCAAACAGGCAGTCGATGCCATCGCCCGAGCCAAAGCCTTCGGAGGGTGGCTGGCTCTACCGGGTCCTTGAGCCCTACTACTCCCGGGAGTGTGCCTTGACTTAGGGTTTAGGGTTTGGGGTTTGGGGTTGGAGGTTTGAGGCTTGGGGTTTGCGGAGATGAAGTAGACTGCTTGCTGTGAGACAGTTCTGACTGCTCAGGGTCGAGGGGGCTTCGTTGGCGGACTTTCAGGAAAGCGCGCGGGGGCAGAATTCGGGAACATGATATGGCCGCATGCTGCACGCACCTTCTTTTCGGGCCTGTCTAAACCCTAAATCCTAAATCCTAAGCCCTAAACCCTAAAACCCTGATTCCTAAACCTCAACTAAACGCTAGGCCGTAACGTCTTCTGAAGCCCATGATGCGAGGTTTAGTGCTTTTTCCCCGGGTTCTTAGTAGGGAATGAGGGAATTAGGGCCCCATATATACCCTTTAAGGGATTATACAGAGCACTCATTCCCGCCCTTCTTGTTGCTAGGACCCGTAGGCCCTTGGTTTCCTTTTTTTAAGGTTGGGTTCCCTCTATTCCCTTTACCAAAAAGGGGTCCCTGGTTTATTCATAGGTTACAGACTAAGAACCAGCCAGTCTTGGGTCTGAGCTTTTGGCTTCGGACAGGTTTAGGGTTTAGGGTTTAGGGTTTAAGGTTTGGGGTTTAGGGTTTAGGGACGGGTGAGGTCAGGCAAAAGCCCCAAAGCCCAACTGCGAAACCTTCAATCCGGTCCCTTCGGCTAGGGCCTTTTGGAGTTTAGGGTTTAGTGTTTAAGGTCTGGGGTTTGGGGTTTCGGGTTCGGGCTTAAGGTTTAGGGTATAGGGTTTAGGGTTGGTAACAACCCAAACCCTAAGCCGCATAAGCCGTTCAGGTGTCCGGTAGGCACGCATTCTTCTCCTAGGGTTTCGGGTTCGAAGCTTGGGGTTCAGGGTTTGGGGTTTAGGGATGTTTAGGGTGCAGGGTTTAGGGTTTAGGGATAGAGTTCGGAGTTTAAAGGGTTTGCTTTGGGATTGGAGAGCTGCAGGCCCAGATTGCTCTTGAGCTGCATGATGTGCCCTGTTGGAGGTTTCTCGAAGTTCGGGTTCAGGGTTCAGGATTCAGGGTTTAGGGTTTAGGGTTTAGGGTTCAGGGTTTAGGGTTTAGGGTTTAGGGTTTAGGGTTTAGGGTTTAGGGTTTAGGGTTTAGGGTTTAGGGTTTAGGGTTGAGGGTTGAGGGTTTAGGGATTAGGGTTTAGGGTTTAGGGTTTAGGGTGATGAAGGGCCGCCCAAATGGGGACCTCGATTCAGATCCTCATGTCATGTTTCGTTGCCCCCCAACGCTTTGAGGCGTCGACAATGTGATGGAGGCAGGGAAGCCCCTAAATCGCCTGCAGGTCAGGGTTTAGGGTTTAGGGTTTAGGGTTTAGGGTTTAGGGTTTAGGGTTTAGGGTTTAGGGTTTAGGGTTTAGGGTTTAGGGTTTCAGGGTTTAGGGTTTAGGGTTTAGGGTTTAGGGTTTAGGGTTTAGGGTAAACGCAAGAACTTGGGATCTTCCCCCCATACCAAGAGTCCTCAATAGGGATTATAGTACCTCCTCCTCTATATTCAATGAAGGACTGTTAGTATAAGGGGGAACATCCCAAGCAAGAACCCTTGAAACTTAAAGCTTCTGATTTTGAGCGGTGACTTTACAACAGGGGACCCAAATTAAGGGCCCATACTTCGGATCCCCTATTAAAGCTTCGGATTTAGGAGGTACACCTTGGCTACACAGCCGCCCTGGGCCTTCTCAGAAACCCCGAGCCCTAGACTTTTTGTGCCTGTAAGCGACAGTCTTGGCGCAAGTGGAACCCAAACTCCAAGCCTTGCTGCAGACCCCAACACCCCCCCTCATGTATCCTTCAGCCAGAATCCCATATAAAAGGCATAGAGCACGACGAGCATGGCCTGTCTTACTTGCTTCCTAAACCCTAAACCCTAAACCCTAAACCCTAAACCCTAAACCCTAAACCCTAAACCCTAAACCCTAAACCCTAAACCCTAAACCCTAAACCCTAAACCCTAAACCCTAAACCCGAAACCTCTCTTACCAAAAAAATTTAAACCCTATACACCTTCGTGGCTAAGGGTCATTTCTTCGTGGCTAAGGGTCATTTCTTCATGGCTAAGGGTCATTTCTTCGTGGCTAAGGGTCATTTCTTCGTGGCTAAGGGCAATTTCTTCGCTAAGGGCCATTTCTTCGTCGCTAAGTGCAATTTCTTGGTCGCTAAGGGTCATTTCCTTCGTGGCTAAGGGTCATTTCCTTCGTGGCTAAGGGTAATTTCTTCGTGGCTAAGGGTAATTTCTTCGTGGCTAAGGGTCATTTCTTCGTGGCTAAGAGAATATCTTCGTGGCTAAGGTCATTTCTTCGTGGCTAAGGGTCATTTCTTCGTGGCTAAGGGTCATTTCTTCGTGGCTAAGGGTCATTTCCTCATTTCTTCGTGGCTAAGGGTCATTTGGGTCATTTCTTCGTGGCTAAGGGCCCCTTCCCCCCCGCCCCTCCTCTCTCTCTCTCTCCCCCTTCCTGGCTCTTCTTCTGGCCTCTGCGGGTCCATGACAGAGTGAGTTTGGAGGACAGGGCTTGCTGATGAAAAATGTAATCTTTGTATTTCTTAATTTTGGGATTCTCTGGGTGGGTGGTTTTTTTCGCGAGTCCAAAACAGCGGCTCTACTAGGGATTGCTCGACCCGGAGCTGCTGAACCCTAAACCCTAAACCCTAAACCCTAAACCCTAAACCCTAAACCCTAAACCCTAAACCCTAAACCCTAAACCCTAAACCCTAAACCCTAAACCCTAAACCCTAAACCCTAAACCCTAAACCCTAAACCCTAAACCCTAAACCCTAAACCCTAAACCCTAAACCCCTAAACCCCTAAACCCTAAACCCCTAAACCCCTAAACCCTAACCTTGTCAAGAGGGTGAAGACTCTTCACCGTGGTAGCGCTGCAAAAAACCCCCAATCCCGAAACCCTAAACCCTAAACCCTAAACCCCAAACCCGAAACCCTGCAACCGCAAACGTCAAGCTGCTGAGCCCCCAGACCTAACGCCGTGTCTTCAGCCCTCTGGTTCTGACTACCTGCTTGCAACGGCCCAGCCCTAAACCCTAAACCCTAAACCCTAACCCTAAACCCTAAACCCTAAACCCTAAACCCTAAACCCCAAACCCCAAACCCCAAACCCGAAACCCCAAGCCCAAAGCCCAAAACACACAAAACCCTAAAACCCTCAACCCCAAAAACCCTCCCCCTAGCCCTAAACCCCAAACCCAAAGCCCAAAACTCAAATCTCAAAACCCCAAACCCTCAACCCCCAAACCCCACCCCCCCCCCCCCCCCCCCCCCCCCCCCCCCAAAAAAAAAAAGAAGATACAGAAACAAAATGAACCCCCAAGCCCAAGCTTATAACACAAAACCCTAAAGCCCCCCTAACTAGATCAATGTTAGGATCCTTTTTGCTTTTTGGGTTATGGGCTTTCTTCTATATGAACAAAAAGGCTCCTTTTTCTTCCTAGGGGAACAGGAACCCTAAACCCTAAACCCTAAACCCTAAAAACCCTAAAACCTAAACCCTAAACCCTCAACCCTCAACCCTCAACCCTCAACCCTCAACCCTCAACCCTCAACCCTCAACCCTCAACCCTCAACCCTCAACCCTCAACCCTAAGCAGCGAGGCGATGATGGGCGGCCAGATCTCCTCTGGGGCTTCCTGGCCGAGGAAGCTGGCAGCGGAAGTCTGCGAGCTCTACAAGGCCAGAGGGGTTTAGGGTTTAGGGTTTAGGGTTTCGGGTTTGGGGTTTAGGGTTTAGGGTTTGGGGTTTAGGGTTTAGGGTTTGGGGTTTGGGGTTTAGGGTTTAGGGTTTCGGGTTTCGGGTTTAGGGTTTAGGGTTTCGGGTTTAGGGTTTGGGGTTTAGGGTTTAGGGTTTTGGGGTTTTGTGTGTTTTGGGCTTTGGGTTTGGGGTTTGGGGTTTAGGGTTTAGGGTTTAGGGTTTGGGTTTGGGGTTTAGGGTTTGGGGTTTAGGCTTCCGGATATCCTAAAATGTATGGCTTCGTATTTTCATCGTAGCACCCAGCAGGGACCATCATGTAGGCTTAGGGTTTTGTGAGCTAGGGGTTTCGGATGTGTGGGGATTGGTCGGGGTGGGCGGGTTTTGCTGCGCTTAGGGTTTTTGGCCGCTGTCAGTAGCAGATTGCCCTTTGCCCCTCCCCACAAGGCTTAAGCCCTAAGCCCGAAACCCGATCAAGCGTGCATGAGCTCCTGCACGGCTTCTGGGCATAGAGCCTAAACCCCCAAAGCCTAAACCCTAAGCCCTAAACCCTCAACCTTCAACCCCAAACCCCAAACCCCAAACCCCAAACCCTAAACCCTAAACCCTAAACCCTAAACCCCAAACCCTAAACCCTAAACCCTAAACCCTAAACCCTAACCCTTCGAGGTGCCGGTGGCCCTACCCACCTCCTCGGGAGCCTCAGCGCTCCACGTGGCTTTGTTGGCCTGCAACCTCGGCCCGCACGACGCCTGGGAGGGGAGGGTTGGGGCTTAGGGTTTGGGGGGGTTTAGGGTTTAGGGTTTAGGGTTTGGGGGGGTTTAGGGTTTGGAGGAGTTTAGGGTTTAGGGTTTGGGGTTTGGGGTTTAGGGAGGTTCGTTGCTACGAGTTTTGTGATCAAACATTTCCTGGGTTCCTAGTCTTGGCACAGAACCTCTATGCACCGGCTAGAGCCCTAAACCCTAAACCCTAAACCCTAAACCCTAAACCCTAAACCCTAAACCCTAAACCCTAAACCCTAAACCCTAAACCCTAAACCCTAAACCCTAAACCCTAAACCCTAAACCCTAAACCCTAAACCCTAAACCCTAAACCCTAAACCCTAAACCCTAAACCCTAAACCCTAAACCCTAAACCCTAAACCCTAAACCCTAAACCCTAAACCCTAAACCCTAAACCCTAAACCCTAAACCCTAAACCCTGCGAGGACCACGTGCTGGTGCCTGCCTTGACCATGGTGGTCAGGAGCTCAGATCGGAGTTCACCCTGCCGCAAATCTGAGTTCAAAGCCGCTTAGGGTTTAGGGTTTATAAGTAGGGTTTAGGGTTTAGAGTTTAGGGTTTAGGATTTAGGGTTTAGGGTTTCCCCCCAACCACCCAACCCCCAGAAAACTCCCAAATTCCCAAGCCAGAAGCCCCAGAAGCCCGAAGCCCTGAACCCCTAAAACTTGCTGTCGCACGGATCCCCTGAAGCTTCAGCCCTAAACCCCAAACCCCAAACCCCAAACCCTAAACCCTAAACCCTAAACCCTAAACCCCAAACCCCAAACCCTGAGGCCGTGGCCAACATGGTGAAGATGGTGGGCGCCAAGCCGGTCTACTGCGACTCTGCAAAGGCATCTGAAGCAGAAAGCTTAGGGTTTAGGAAACCCGAAGCCGTCCAACTTTGGTAGGGCTTGAGGGCCACTTTCCTTTTGGTTTGTTTTTGTCTATTTTTTGGCCGGGGGGGGGGGGGTGGGGAGATGATGGTGAATCGATGCCGCTTGTTCGGTGCCTTCAACCTTGACCCCAGAAACTAAGCCCTAAGTCCAAACCCCTAAAGCCTGAACACCGAACTCGTAACCCTAAACCCGAAACCCGAAACCCTAAACCCTAAACCCTAAACCCTAAACTCTCAACCCTAAAGCCTCAAACCCCAAAACCCCAAAACCCTAAACCCTAAACCCGAAGCCCTGCAGCGCGCCCCCAAGAAGGGCTCCGTGAACCCGGGCACCGCCGATCTCCTGAAGAAGGCGACTCCCAGGACAAGGGAGTTTTAGGGTTTTAGGGTTTCTAGGTTTCTAGGTTTTTAGGGTTTAGGGGTTTTAGGGAGTTTTAAGGTTTAGGGTTTTAGGGTTTCTAGGTTTCTAGGGTTTAGGGTTTAGGGTTTTAGGGTTTAGGGTTTTAGGGTTTAGGGTTTAGGGTTTCTAGGTTTCTAGGTTTCTAGGGTTTAGGGTTTTAGGGTTTTAGGGTTTTAGGGTTTTAGGGTTTCTAGGTTTCTAGGTTTCTAGGGTTTAGGGTTTTAGGGTTTAGGGTTTTAGGGTTTAGGGTTTAGGGTTTTAGGGTTTTAGGGTTTCTAGGTTTCTAGGTTTCTAGGTTTCTAGGGTTTAGGGTTTTAGGGTTCAGGGTTTTAGGGTTTTAGGGTTTTAGGGTTTTAGGGTTTTAGGGTTTTAGGGTTTTAGGGTTTTAGGGTTTTAGGGTTTTAGGGTTTTAGGGTTGTAGGGTTTTAGGGTTTTAGGGTTTTAGGGTTTTAGGGTTTTAGGGTTTTAGGGTTTTAGGGTTTTAGGGTTTTAGGGTTTTAGGGTTTTAGGGTTTTAGGGTTTCTAGGTTTCTAGGTTTCTAGGGTTTAGGGTTTAGGGTTTTAGGGAGTTTTAGGGTTTAGGGTTTTAGGTTTCTAGGTTTCTAGGGTTTAGGGTTTTAGGGAGTTTTAGGGTTTAGGTTTAGGGTTTAGGGCTTATGGCTTAAGGGTTGGGGGGGGGATTGTGGAGTTGGGTTTGGGGATGTTCGGGGTTTAGGATCCAGGTTGCTGCTCTTAGGTGAAGGGCTCCGGGTTTCAGGGTCAACTTGTCCACGCCGTGCGTCACGTCGCCTCCGCCCGGATCCATCTCATTTTTTGGGGGGGGGGGGGGGGGGGGGGGGGGGGGGGGGGGGGGGTTCGGGCTTCCAACCTGCAGAAAAGAAGGTACGCGTTTTTTTTTAAGATGGTTAAACCCTAAACCCTAAACCCTAAACCCTAAACCCTAAACCCTAAACCCTAAACCCTAAACCCTAAACCCTAAACCCTAAACCCTAAACCCTAAACCCTAAACCCTAAACCCTAAAGATTGCTGGGCTACCTGGGTTCTTTCCCTGAGGACCAAGGCAGTGATCGTGTGCCACACCTACGGCAGCTGGTCTCTGAAACCGTGAAGAGGGGTTAGGGTTTAGGGTTTTGGGTTTAGGGCGGGTTTAGGGTTTAGGGTTAGGGTTTAGGGTTTAGGGTTGAAGGAGCATGTATCTGGCACCCCTCTCACGAAGCCCGAGGTCCGACGCTGAAAAAGCCCTCATGAGCCCTCAAAGTCCCAATCTTGACGCAGGTGCGCGAACAATCTTCAACCCTAGTAGGCCTAACTCTAAACCCCAAACCCTAAACCCTAAACCCTAAACTCTAAACTCTAAACCCTGACCCTCAACTCTAAACCCTAAACCCTAAACCCCCGAAACCCCACACCCTGAGTGCGTGCTTACCTTGCAGAAAACTCCACTTCTCCCATCCACCAGAGAAGTGCCACGGCGGTGGCGCAACGAAGCTGCTAAACCCTAAACCCTCAACCCTAAACCGTAAACCCTAAACATCCCTAAGCCTTAAACCCAGGGCTTCAGGGTTCAGGGAGGCTTGGGTCCCTCGCTGAGAAATGGGCAGCGCATGGTGTGCGAGGAGGGGTTTACGGTTAGGGTTGAGGGTCTAGGGTTTAGGGTTTAGGGATTTTGGGGTTTTCAGGGTATAGGGATTTTAGGGTTTAGGGTTCAGCCT